ACACACTAAAAGCTAATTATCTGAAAGAATTGAGAAAATTAAAACGGTTAATGAGTATACTGAATAAATGGCTTCAATCCATAGTAAAGGCTGTGTAAATATTAGCAATTAATGAACACAGTCATTTTAAGGAAATAAAATAAGTCCACTGTAGTTAGAATGTGAGAAACTAAGCTGGAGATTGGCAGGGACAAAACTCAAGTGGGCTTTTGGTTTTTTTTTAAATAATTATTTATTTGGGACCAGCAGGTGGCGTGGTGATTAAGGTACTAGACTCTTACATAGTCGCCCCCAGACCTGGTGGCCTAAAGCTCACACTAGGCATGTGTGCATGCATGCCCAAAATCCAGAGAAGAGAATGGAGCAGAAAGGATTGGAAATGTAACATGGTCATGCCCCTGGAGGGTGATTTCTCACTCTCTGTCTGTTTCTCCATCTCTCCATGCAAGTGCACACGCCCTATAGCAAAAATCTCTCTCCAAAAAAAAAAAGTAATAAAAAAAGAATTGTTTAGTTTTTATGTATTTATTTATAATTTGCTATAGGGCACTTGAGCTCACCAGAGGGGGAGAGAGAGAAAACCACCAATTCTGGGACCCAACTATGGTCTGACCATGTGGGAGTCCAGCACCTTTACCACTACGCCACCTGCTGACCCCAACTAAAAAGTTTTAAGCAGGGGAAAGGATACAACAGACATATAATTGGAAAAAATCCCTCCCCACTCCAGACCCCACCCTTCATACCGCAAAAAGAACACAAATTGATCATATCAGGTCCCCTCTTCCAAATTTCCAAAAGCTCTCAGCCCTCATGACATGATAAGAACCAGAACTTTTTTTTTTTAATATGCTTTAGGGAGCTTATGCTCACCCAGAAGGAGGGAAAATGAGACAGCATCCTACGTGGGAGATGGCCATGCTGCAATTTCTTCTCCTCCATCCCCCCTGAGGATTTTGGGTGCATGTACACACACACCTGGAGTGGTTCTCAAGTCGATGGGTCTAGGACTCAAACCATGGCAGTCACCTTAACCACCATGTCACTGGCTGGCCCAAACCAGAACTTCCTACACAACTTAGAAGGCCCTTTTTGGCCCACCCACAGTGGCATGCACTGGTGCTCAGCAGGCTGGGATGACATGGGAGACCCAGGGTCAATTCCTGGTCCAACCTAAAGGCCAGGTCCAGTGACATATATCTATACTTCCTGCTAAGGAGGATCAAAGGGTCAAGGCTGGCATGGGCAACAAAGAGACCTACCTAGAAAGAAGCAGCAGGCATGGTGGTATGTTTTACCTTTATGGTCACAACATACCTACTTTCCAAATTATCTTCAACCACCAACATATAAGGATTTAATGTTTCAATAACACAAATGTCTCACTGTTTTCAACACTGACATTACTAGAGTATTTGTGCCTCTGTAATAGTTTCTTTCCCCATGTGTGATCAGAAATGTAATATCCGTTTTTAAAAAAATTATTTAACGTTAGCTTTTCAAAACCTATTTGTGTCTTGACATCAACTCTGTTAACCTTATTATGTTGTTTCTCAGTCTTTGATATACAAATAAAAATATTTTCTTTGTATTAAAAAAAATTATTTAACATTATTTATTATTTATTTATGTTAATTTGACCAGAAAGAGGCAGAGTAAGAGAGTAAAAGAGTAAGAGAGAGGGAACCAGCAGTTAGCGTAACGGCTATGTCGCTGGACTCCCACGTAGTCGACCGCGATTCGCGTCTCGGACCCGGTGGCTTAAAACTCACGCTGGGTGCGTGTGTGCCCAAGATCCCAGGAGGAGAAGGGATTGCGGCGTGACCATCCCCCCCTGGGGGGTGATTTCTAGCTTTCTGTCTCTATGTCTCTCTCTGTCTGGCGAGCGCACGTGCCCTATAGTGAAACCTCTCAAAAAAAAAAAAAAAAAAGGGTAAGAGAGAAAAAGTGAGAAAGTAAGCCGCCAGGTTTACTTGCAATCAGACATGTGGGAGTAGAGCACCCTTAACCACCATGCCACCTGCCAGCCCCAGAAATATAATATTCTTACAGCTACAATTCAGTCTCTTCCCAACTGTGTTGGAATGACTGCATTTCTACAAAATAGTCAGAAATTTGCAGTCCGTATATGGACTTACATGTCAAGTCAGATAACATTTCTCATTCTTACTTAAAGTTCGTTCCTTTTCTCTGAGGTCCCATACTAAAATCCAAAATTATCTTTATTAAATGTAAAGGTTTATTTTTTTAACTTGCAAGTGGGCATGGACACTTGCCAGAGGGGAGGAAGAAAGTATCCCAAATGGAGCAGGGATACACTGCAATAGTTTCTCCTTCATTTTTCCATCCTATCAGGATTTGGGACATGTTATGTTGGGTATTTTTCAAGCTATCAGGCTAGGATCAAATATGGTTAGCCATGTGGAAACCAGCTTCCTTAACCACAGGAACAGTCCCAGAAAAATGTTTTTAAGTTATTTATTTTATTCTTTTTTTTTTTCCTTTAAATTTGCTACAGGGCACGTGTGCTAACCAGAGAGAAAGAAAGAATAGGGAAAGTGAGAAAGCAAGTCACCAGGTCTGGTACTCAAATGGCAATCAGCCCCGTGGGTGTCTAATGCCCTAACTACCATCCCACCTGCCAGGCCCCTGGAAGAATTTTCTAAAAAGTCAATAAAACCCCAAGTCAATCCAAAAATCAGGATTACTTAGTTTTATCAAGATCACTAGTGAAACCAAACGTTAACTGTACTAGAATTCAGATTTAAACACATGGGTTCTTAACCAGAGGTCCATGGACTCCTCAGGGCTATTCGGTAGTTTTAAGCCCCTTAAATTGCATGCAATGTATGTGTACATGCCTTTTTCTGGGAAGAGGGTCCATACCTTTCATCAGAGTTTCAAAGATATCTGTGACCTCCAAAAGCTTAAGAAGTGGTCTAGAGAAAAAGCAAAGACAAGCAAATGTGATTAAAGATTGAGTCCTTTTTAGGCTGTCAGGAAT